TGTCCATGCCTGCAGCTGGCCAGCTGTTTCTGTTTTCTGATTTCTCGGGAAATAGAAGAGTGAGCCCTTAGCTCCTTTGTTGGAGGATTGTCCGAATGGTGAACGGCCAGTGTCAACTCCACCTGCTCAACCACCCTCGTGGGAAAAGGACCAGTTTCCACATGCAGTTCATGCTGCCACAGCTCAAGGATACCATTACCGTGGTCACACCCAGCCCAGAAACCCAGCCCTTGCACACATATGATCCCTTCACTCACAGCAGTTCACATCTTTGGGCACTGAGGACTGCCCAGCATGATGTGTGGGTAAGGGGTCGTAGCCATGGAGAGTAGGCCATGGGAAGAGCAGAGGGGTCTGCATTCTCTCTAGAGTGGGATGGTGTCACCTGCTGGACAAGTCCACCAGCCATTCTCAGCTCATGCCAACCAGTCACTGGGCACTCGCCCCTGCTGCCCAAGGAAATGGGTCCATCTCCAGAGAGAAAGCCAGGAGTTTCCAAGGTTGATGTCAATGTTTTGAGAACCAGCACAACCCCGACCAAAGAGCCGTTGTACCCAGAGACCCCTGCGGCTGCCAGCTGTCGAGATGCCGTTCTGTTTGCCAGCCCACCAGCACCTGATGAACCTCGTCCCAAGGTAAGCTCACAGTTCACCCGTACCCTCATCAAAGGACGAGGCCCAGGAAATTCAGCAAATACCTGGGATTACCCGATGTGTTTCCTGAGCCACTGTGTAACCTGGAGCCATTTGGGTGCCAGCCTGCGGTGTGGGTAGTCACAATGGTACCTGGCAGGCACCTGGGGGTCAGACATGGCATCTGCACAGTGATGTCCCATCAGCTTTAGAGAACTTGACTTGGAGTTTCCCAGGGACTGGAGCTGCTAGAGCTGATGGTCTCAAAAGGCCCACTTCACCCTCTGCACTGGGGCAGTGCGCTTTCAGTTAGCTCCCATCGATCACGATTTCCAGCAGGAGCAGCTGTGGGCAGGGCAGAATCTGCTCTTCCCTGCCTGTCTGCTCTAGCCATGGTCAGCTGGTGTGTGTCAGACACCCCGGGCAGGCTGCACGCAGACTCCTCTCCCCTCCCTCTCCCTCTTCCCATGGCAGAGCCTCTTGACGGCAACGCATCTCCTCTCATACTTCAAGAGTGTCATGTTGGCTCATGGGCCTGGCTTATAAAGCTCCACTCTAACCGCTGAAGCCAACCTACTCTCTTCCCAAGGCTCCCACGAGCACCCCGAGGAGCCCGCGGTTGGATTGTGTCCTGTCTCCCCTCTCTTAGTTTCAGCAGCGTAAGACCTCGGGGTCTGAGCTCCTGAGGTCACGAGAAAAGTAGTGAATGTATGGCTACAGCCTCCTTTGTGTCTGGAGTTGTCAGCAGGAAATGCGCAGTGAATTGGCTCTGCGCCATCCACTGTTGCTGCCTGCTCAGTCTTCTGCGCTTACTCATCACTGAGTAAAATCCATGTGCTGGGGAGGGGTTCCCACAATTAATTTGCAGGGCATCCAGGAGAGCAGGAAGATGTGAACTCTGGGCCACCTTGGGACTCCCAGAAGAGGGAGCTCCCTGGGAGGCAGATGGCCCTAGAGGGTTAACAAGGGGTGGAGTCATGGTACTTCCTGTTGGACTGGAACCCTGAATTTATGCGGATGACAAGACTGCTGATGCTTTAGAACTGCTCTCAGAAATGTATTCTTAAGTTGGCCCACATGTGTCTAGGGAAAAAAGAAAAACCAATGCTTCCTTGCAGGTCCTGTAAAATTGCGATCTTGCAGAAAGGATATGTGGTTCCTATTGCCAACTACCAACAGAACCCAGTTCAAGGGAGATGGTAATATCGGGCATGGCCACTAGAGGGGAGTGTGGGAGCTAAGCTGAGGCAGCAGGCCTTTACTTGGATGGATGCTCTGGATGTGCAGGGTCTGGGTTGGGCACAGCCACTGACTGGTCAGTCCTGGGGAACAGGCACAAGGGGCTGCGTGGGTATGGGCCGCAGAGAGTCGGTCTGGTCGTAGGTAGCACCAGGCACAGGGGCTACATAGCAGGGAAGGATGTGGGTAATGATGCAGCCTGGGAAAGGGGATTTGGACTGTGACTTGGGGCCAGCCCCTACCTCGGCTCCCTCATGAGGACAAGACACTTCTTGGGGGCTTTTTCAGAAGGGGGATTGTGGGGTTGCAATGCTCCCTGGGGCTTCCCTCCCCTTCTTATACCCAGATCCCATTGTTGGGAGCCATATACATTATAGCCATATTAAAGCCATTTTTGAATCTAGATCTGGCTCAGTGAAAAGTACCAGCTAGCAAAGTGCAAGGGAAACCAATTTTTAAGACACCCTGCGGTTTACAAGTTATCTAGCAACCCACCCAGCTCTGAGCACACTTGGTGCTTGTAACAGGATGTTGGCTTGTGCCCTACCTGCTGGCATCCTCTTGTGAGCATAAGGGGGGGCTTTGGGAAATAGCTACCCAGAAAGAGTTGTGAACCATGCCCGCCTCTTGCAAGCATAAAGGGCTTTTAGAAATAACTGTCCAGAAAGAGCTGTGAAGCCATGTCCTGGACCCTATTTCCTCTTTCTCCTCACCCATAGACCCTGTTTTGCAGACTATAAAGCCTTGTGTGAAAATAAAATTTGGTCAGCTTGATCAGACATCCTGTCTTGCTGTCCATTCCTGTGTCTCTTGTCCTCCCATTCTCTCCTAGGTTGGCTGTGACCCCCGTTGACTGTCCTGCTGGACGGGACACCCCATAGCCCTTTCCATGTCAGCCTGGGGCCTCTTGCCAGCCATCCACTTTCCCAAGAATTTGCTTTCCTGTAGCAAGAAGAATTACTTTTCCATTCCCAGGCATGATCCAGCCCCTCACAAGCTCTTCCCCCTGTGGTACCCAAAGGCCCCCACTCCTGTACCCCGTCTCTGAGTTTCCACTAAGCAGATACCCGTGTGGGGGTGAGGGTTGGGAGAGGAGGAGCCAGGCTCAGTGTCACCCCATATGTTTATCTCTCTCTCTTTTAAAGATTCACTTTCTTTATTGGAAAGACAGATTTATAGAAAGGAGAAACAGAAACTGAAAATTCTTTGTTTCCCCAAGTGGCCACAATGACCGGAGCTGAGTGGAACTGAAACCAGAAGCCACAAGTTTCCTCTGGTCTCCCACATGGGTGCAGGATCCCAAGATTTTGGGCCATCCTTGATTGCTTTCTCAGGCCACAAGCAGGGAGTTGCATGGGAGGTGGAGCAGTTGGGGTACGAACTGATGCCCATATGGGATCCCAGCACGTGTACAGAGATTTAACAACTGAGCCACCGTGCAGGTCCCCATCACAGGTTCTTCTAAAAGCTGCAGAGTTGGTACTGTGTTCTGCTGAACCGGGGTGGGAAGGGGGAGGATTTCTGCACAATCGAGTGATTCCAAGAGGCTGTTACTGCCCACCCCTGTCTCTGCCCACTTGGGGCACAAGCAGATGACAACCCACAGAGAGAGCCACCTCTGTGTGCTTGAACACTTAGAGTGTCAGAATGTGCCCCTCCCCGACCCGTTGCATCTTTTCTCACACTGATTTCCAACTAGATCTCCAAGTAGACATAATCAAAATGAGCAGACACGTGGGGACACACACACACCAGCTTTATTCTTGCTAACAGCGCTTGAGACATAGATTAGACAGGTGGAATAGACAGCCCTAAAATAGACTCCAGAATTGGGCTGATCCACAGAGCCCCAGGCTGCCCCACACCATCAACCAACATCCCCATCCCCACCCTCACACCAGCCCCTGTCACTGTGCACTTGAGCTTGGTGGTACCCTGTCCACAAGCCCTCCCCCTGCCGCAGCGAGAGATGTCTACCCCAGAATAAGACACAAAACAGACCATGCGTGTGCACCTGCAGGTGCAGAGGTCCTGTGTCCTGCCGAGGATGTCCTGCCCAGCATCGGCCACTGTGTCCTAAGTTGACTGATCCCACTCCTCTGTGGAAAGCGAGAGTGGGAGTGGAGAGACAAGAAGCCCTTTCCTCCCTGTGTTTTCAAGGGTGATGTGCAGGTGCTCTTAAGGCAGCGGAGTGTCATCAGATCCCCTGGGAGGAGTTGGGAATCCATTGCTCTTATGCCTTAGCCATCCACCCCCTGCTTCCCTGGGCCCTGGGTTCTCCACGCCCCACCCCTGCTACTTCCAGTCCCTGCCCCCTCGGTTCTGTCTGGACTTCAGCTCCCCAATGGAGTCTTACAGCTGCATTTGCTCCCCTGTGCTTTGATGCCTACACCCCACATCAGATCACGGGTGACTTCAGTGTGGAAGGGTGAATCGGCTGCGGCCCCTGGGTAGGGAATCAGGGGAGCAGCACTATGTACTGGCTTGCTTCCTACCTCTAGGGGCCTCCTCCTCAGCCCTAGCTGGGGTTGCAAAGCAGCCCGCAGTCCTGGTTGGTACCTTGGGGGCCCTCTTGCCCCAGCCTGATCACAAGGCATGCTGGTGGAGTGCCCAGCACCAGGCACCCTGTGCTTTCCACACGCGGGCCTGCCCATCAGCACCACTCTTGGTGCAGCCTGGGCTTTACATGGGCCCGTGAGAAGGGCTGACATTTCTGCTTTCCTCCAGCCACCCTGCCCCACAAAGGGGCAGATGGGCAGTCAGCACCTCCGTTTGCTGTGTGGACTGTGCCCTGCTCCTGCAAGGCAGAAGCAGCTGAGGACAACTTGGGTTCAAGGCATTTTATCTTTCTGACTTGGTATGCACAAGTGGACTCCCTGGAGCTGGTCCTGCTGGCCCCGGGATCCCCCTTTCCTGTCCTCCAAGTGGTGTCAGCCACCTCTGAGGGCAGCAGTGAGGAGACAGCTTGTTTAGCTCTCAAGTTGTAGTTTCACTTCTCTTTTCCCCGTTTGGGTGGAGCCTGCTGGCTTCCCAGCCAGGCCCTCTGCAGTCGGGGGGGGGGGGGGGGGGGGGGGGGGGCTTCCTGCTAGGGCAGGGCACAGGCAGGGAGCCTGGGGGAATCAGAAGTGGAGCAGGCTGTTGGCAGGAGGGGACAGCAACAGCTCTACCAGGAGAGTTCTTAGCCACTTCCTTAGCTGTCTGTCAGTCCGCAGAGCAGCTCCAGTGTCCTCAGCTTCTGTGGTTCCTGGGGACTAGTGCAGATTCCCAGGAGATCAGGTAGGTGGGCTGAGGGAGCCCGGTGTGCGGGAATGGGCTGTGTGGGGCAGCTGGGCCGTTTCGAAACTAGCAGGGGGCAGTGCGCTGTGAACACAGCTGGAGGATGTGTGACTTTCTCATTCAGCAGCTTCTACTCCTCTGGCCAGCTGCCAGCAGACAGGGCTGTCCTGGTGACGGGTGCAGGACTGATTTCCTCGCGGCCTCTGAACGAACTTTCTCTAGGGTCCCTGCCTGCTCCTTCACGCAGGTCATGGCCATCAAGGAAGCTTAGAAAATAGCAAACATGGGAGGAAGCGCTTTGCCCATTTTCCAGCTTTGGGCGTGGTGGGTCTCACCCTGGCAGCAGGACCAGCCCTGGACTGACTCGGGTCTGAGCTTTTCTCTGGAAGAGAGGGGCCCGTGGGCATCAAAGGCTGGTGCAGGCTCAGGGGCTTTATTTTCACTCTTAACTTCCAGATGAGTGGCACTTCTGACATAGTCACAGAAATCGTCTCTTTTCCTGTAGTGGGCTCAGAAATAACATGGCCTCGTCGTTTTGATTTAATTTTTCACAAAGAAACATGATTTTGTTCATAAAATTTCCAATGACACAGAGGTAGACAAGAGAAAGAAATGCTGTCGCTCCTTCCATTCTCAAGTCCTGCGATGTCTTGGATGTGCCTTCCGTATCTGTGCACTTAACATAAATAATTGGCTTTGCAAATATTGAGGGTGCTTCAAAAAATGGAATGAAAAAATAAAGTTTGGGTTTTTTTGATGCAGAAAATATTTGAAATCTGTATGTACAGGTGTCTCCAGGAAATTCACTGCAAATACAGGTTAGGAAAAAACTATGCATGAAATTCCAATGAACTTTTGCAGTCCACTGATAAAATTTACATATTCTCCATCAGTAATAAATGGGACTAGACTATGGGTATAGGGTCTGCATTTTTCATTTTCAATTATTTTAGCAGTGGAAATCTTAGCAGTCTTTGTGTTTATGTGTAGCTCTACCTCACTCTTTCTAACAGCTACATGACGTTGCTTGCATAGGATTTATACATCCTTATTGTCAAACGAGTACCTGTGGATGAAATCTAGACTCTCGGTTGTTCACTTTGATCAACAAGCCATAGTGATGGTTGTGCTTCTCTCTCGCTGTGTCTCGCATGTAGACAAGTATTTATCTTATGTCAAAAACCAATAACAGGTCTTTTTGTTTGTTTCAAAGATTTACTTAGTTTTAGTGGAAAGGCAGATTTACAGAGATAAAGAGATACAGAGAAAATAATCTTCCATCTGCTGGTTCACTCACCATGCGGCAGCAATGGGTCTCCCACGCGGGTCTTGCAGGCCTCTCTCTCGGGTCTTCCAGGTCTCCCGCATGTGGCGCAGGGTCCCAAGGCTTTGGGCCATGCTCAACAGCTTTCCCAGGCCACCAGTAGGGTGCTGGATGGGAAGCAGAGCTGCCAGGATTAGAACAGCTGCCCATATGGGATCCTGGCACATGCAAGGCAAGAATTTAGCCACTAGGCCACTGTGCTGGGCCCCAGCAAAAACAGGTCTTGAGGCAAGGTTAGAACATTTACTGGCTGGGTCAGTGTTTTTAGTAAGAGCAAATGAGGGAAGCCATCTCTCCCCACTTGGCCAAACTTTGCGACTGGTGACATGTGACTTCTTGTTTCCATTTGTGTTTTCTGGTTGCACGGGCAGCTGGGGAGTTTGTGTGTGTTTAACAACCACTCAAATCCCCTCCTCTCTCGCTAGTTCATTCTTTGCCTGTGTCATTTGGGTTAGGCATTTGGCCTCCTGTTCAGGACATGGGAGGATTTGCTTGATATTCTGAAAAGCAGAAGTACGCTTTCCTCATCCTTTATCTTCGCAGTAGTCATGGCCATATTGAATACTCATTAGGGTTTGGTTCTTTAAATGTATATTCTTGTAGGAGTGTTTCTGAGCTCAGTGCTATAGTTCCGTGAATCACCCATGAAGCCATCATGTCAGCCACCGTGTGTTTGTTTCTCAGCCTAGAGTTCACATTCCTGCTTTGTTTAGGTTGTTGGGAGGCCTTCAGCACCTTGGGCTACCCTCTGTCCCTGTGCAAGTTTGCCTTCTCTGCCCCTTTGTTGTTTGGCATGCTACCGTGGCCTCACAGCCCACCTCGCCCGTGCTTGCCCGGAAGCTGGCTCTCATGTAACTGCCTTGGCTGAAAGTGAATCATCTCCCTTCTGGGCAGTTGGAAGATTCTTCTTAGGTGCTTGTTTCACCTGGGGGTGCCACCCGTCTGCACACTGCTTGCCAGCGCTGCCCTCTTGCCCAGGTCAGCAGAGGCAACACAAAGTAGGGACTTATTGGGTGCAGGTTTTTTTTTAGTAATATATGGGAATTGTGTAGTATGAAAAAATTCTTCATGAGCCTGGTATTCTATGGTATAGAAACAGTGATGGCAGTGGCTTGCCTCTTGGTCCCAATCCTAAATCATTTTTAAGTTGAAGAAAAAATTTTTTTTTTACTATTGCACAAACAAGGGTGTTGCCTGCTGTTAGTTTTCTTTTAAAGAAGGTTTTCTCAAATGAAAGAAGTTTTACAGTTAGCGTTCAATATTTCCAATATGTAGTTTGGCTTATTTCTGCTGTTTCTCACTTATAATATTATTTTTTATCTGGGACTATAAAAGATGATATTTATTTGAAAGACAAAGTTAGAGAGACATGGAAGAGAGAGAGCAAGAGTGAGAGAGAGAGAACTTTTGTCTGCTGGTTCAATTGCCAAAGCGCAGCAACGGCCAGGGCTAGGTTAGGCCAAAACCAGGAACTTCTTCTGGCTTCTTTTAGGCCTCCCACACAGTTGCAAAACTGCTGTTTTCGCATGTACATCAGCAGAAAGTTGTATCAGAAGTGGAATAGCTGGGACTGGACCCAGCACCCACATGGGACACCAGCACTGCAGGTGTCAGTTTAACCCACTGTGCCACAGTGCTGGCCCTGTCTTTCTCCTCATCCTCCATATTAAAGCTTTTAGCAGCTCTTTTATACCGTCCTCCACCAATCACTTCTCCCTGTGGGTCCACTTGGCGCTACCTGATAGGCCAGTAGCAATGACATAATCACAGCAAGGGCATCAGCCTATCCCTGTGACTTCCTGTTTATCTGCTGGCGAGACCAACCCCACCTCCTGGTCCTGGGCCAGCCGCCATCTTGCAAAGGCCCTTCCTATTCCTGGGAGTGGCTTCCTCACCCCGCTCCCCACAAACATTGGATTGTAACAATGGGCAACAATGTTAGCTGTGTAAGAAAGGGATGAGAACCTAGAGGAATGAGAACTTATAGACATTAAAGGACATTAGAAATAACTGGAGATCCCAAAAGAGAGAGTTGGAAATTGATCAGCATTTTATGTATGAAATGACATGGCCTGGGATGTGTGAAGTGCTGATCATATCTGAGACTGAGACTTGGAAAATGCACCAGTTGGTAGGATATTGAAGCCTATATATTGGCTGGAAAAGTTGCAAAAACTTAAACATGAGATGTTAGACAGCAATGTGTCAATATACTTAAAGGCCTGGGAATCTATTGGATTTCCCAGTGGATATTGAAATTGTAAATTTCTTCAGCAGTTCTGATAACTCCAATGTTGAAGTTCTCAGTGAATAGGAAATGGTCAGTGCAACGAGAGAGAAAAGGATAGAAAAGATTTTATAGGCTATCGAATTGGTTGGTTTATGTTTAACTATTAATTCCATGGGAAGTTTATTTTTACATGTGAAATGAAATGCAAAGCTACTTTTAAAATCCAAGCATTTATGTAACAGCATTGCCAGACTAGTTTATCCTTTATTGCTTTGAAATAACATCAATTTTACATATTAAAGAATCTTGCAAGGAATATTTTACAAGGGGGTGTGCTCCTCGCACCGTGGGCCAAGCCACCACCATCCCATAAGGGTATTGGCTCAAGTCCCAGCGGCCCCACTTCTGATCCAGGTCTCTGCTGATTGCCTGGGAAAAGCAATGGAAGATGAGCCAAGTGTTTGGATCCCTGCCTCTTGCATGGGAGATCCAGGTGAAGCTCCTGACTTCTGCTTGGCTCAGCCCTGACCATAGTGGCCATCTCATTGGTCAACTAGCTGCTAAAAAAAAAAAAAACTGTCACTGTGACTTTCAAAGAAATAGATCTTTTGTTATAAAAGGCTCAGGGAAAATGCTTATATGAAAAAAGCATGTGTTTCCAATAATTTTTGCACTAAAAGTAAACTAACCATTTCATTCCATGTTTTTTACAAACTTTTTGAGGTACTCTCAAATGTGAGTCTGTGCAGATGATTTCTGTTGATAAGTATTCTTATTTGATAAACTACTCTTATTTGTATTTTAATATTGAAATGACTTATTGACCATTATTTTAATGGGAAGTACAATCCCTTTTCATAGATCTTTTCAAAGCACAGTTGGCTCTTCTGGAGTTTTATTCCCTGAGAAAAATTTCAGAACCAATTGATAATGTTCTGCAGCCTGTCTAGCTGGGAAGCCTTCCCGGGGCACCCTAACCTCCCCATCTAAGCAGTTCTGGCTGTCTTAGGCTGATGTGGCTCACTTCTGAAGCTGGACCTCTCCTGTGTTGGAATTGTTGTGGGCATAATGTGTGCTCTTCTTTCTTTCTGTCCTTCACTCATGAAGAATGCACAGATCTGCATATATTTTAAAAATATCTTTCATATCTGAAAGTCTACTTTCACAACTACCAAAACTGTGGTAAGCATAGAGGTTTACTATGAAAATTAGTCTACTTCTTTTTTTCCATTTTCAGTATTGCTAATGAGAAGCCTGCAGCCATTCAGGTTCTTGATCCTTTCTTTTGTATCACTTGCTTTTCATTCTTTGAAATTACCAAGTTCTTTTCTTTCATCCGTTGGTTCTGACATGTCTGGATCGTTTGGTTTAGTGTGGGTGTAGTGTTTAGTCACTTTTCTAAGTCCTTCAGGACTATTTGAGATGGAAATTGATTCCAAATCTCTT